ATATCGGCCGTAAACACTAAAATATCAATAAATCATGGCCGAACCTAAGATTCCTTAGCCCTGTATACAGTGATGAGTTTCTGCAATATGATGTCTAGCAATGATTATGCTCACCTTGTGTCAATAGCAGTCCCAGTGCACTTTCCACTTACGAACACTGGATAATAACTTTGGTCAACTCATGAAGACAAACAAAATCCTGCATGCAGTGGTAACTGTATGGATTCTTTGATTGCGTTGATAAAACGTTCACGACTTAGAAATAGCGTCTCAAATGAGCACTTTTAACCAAATCCTATGAATAATATGATGAAATCAATGGTGACTACATTCAAAGTCCTAAAGACTCACTGTAACGTCTACTCTCTCCTCTAAATGCAGTATAAATTTATTCTCGATAATAGCAAACCCGAATATCAATCCGGAACAGAAATGACTTGAAATATAACCCAACGTCACCTAGAGATCTGACTTCAAAGAAGCATGTAAAATTCAAATGAATATGAGCGTCTTGTTCAAGACTAACTCTTTGTAAGCACAAATAATAGCCACAATTGCAACAAAAAAAAGTTTCAGAGCATGGTTTTGAACATACCAAGTCAATCACAATTCTAGAGCTCTTCAATAAATGCAAGAAGCGAGGTTACTCTTGAACTGTTGCATTATAAGTGTGAACTATACTCATGGATTCAAAGTAAAAACTAACGAAAGTAATCATTACTTTCTAAACGACAATAAGATGGATGAAGAAGCATTGCGAAAATAAAGTAAAATATTGTTAAATTATATTATATCCTTATGTAGGTTTTGATCTTCAAAAAATTTTATGTGAATTCAGTTTATTTACTTTACATTCTCAGCATCGATATATGGTGTAAACGTGTATCAATGTCAACTCTCAACGAGTTCATTTCACGTCCAATAAAATATAGAGTTCTCGAAAGTTAGTTGGTATAGATTTGATTAATATTCGATAGATGAAAACTTACATATATCTAATGAAACTTCTACATGCTAAACTGAAATTGTAACGCTGCTGGAAAATCATTTTTTATAATTTCAATTAAAATTTAATGACAGAAAATATGTTAAAACTTATGTACGAATCTATTAAATAAATAAATATATCTTCCTTTTAGTTTGACTGTGATTTACCTCCGATCCTCTATAAACAAGTAAAAAGAGTCAGTTCTTTGATAAGGATTAAAGTCATGTATCTCTTGTGTTAAGCATGCATTTTGTCAGCATCTCTGCTGCAAAAGACATTGAAATCAGAACAGAACCTAATTAGATTACTACGTATGGAAACTTTATTAAGAGGTAGACTATGTCATAATTTACCACTAGACTCGGAAGAATGGACATCAATAGAACTAAAACATCACTCAGAAGATATACATGAGAGAAAGACACACATGTATCTGTATTAAGTATGTACTAGAAATAGGTTGTTAACACATTGAATTCAACACACAGTTTATACTCTCTGCTTGTCTACTCAAATTTTGCAGTAAAGAACATTGAATCCGTAAGTGCCAAAGAACTATATAACATAATATGATTTATACGAATCTGGAACTAGGTCAAGCACTTAATGAAAAGTTCGTTTTGGAGGCTTTGTTCATAAATGGGTAGCACATCCAAAGAAGCATGAGTGTACATAAATAGAAGCAATATAGTAAATTTATTCTTCTGCATCGATAACATCGAGTGAAACGAATTTAAAGTGTGGAGCTTTTAAGTATTAGATTTTCTCATAAATGGCGAGTGTATTGACGTTCAGATGATATAGTATAAAGAAAAATTAAGGAGAAACGTTGACGTCAAAAGAGCTATTTCATTAGGGCAGAAATTCACATATGCAAAGCAGCTTCTAATTATCATCCCTGAAACCTTGTAAGTAACGAATAAAATTCGTTAGTAGAAATAAATCTGGAAAGGTAGCGAAGTTGATATGGAGAAGTACACGAATACTTCATCAAGTCTCACAAGAATGAACCAACCAGGTAACCAAGGGCTAGACTCCAATATTCTCAACATGAAATGAAAAATATATATTTCAAAAACTGCAATTCTCAATTTATCTATTAAAAAATGAATATCTGAAGTTATTGATGTGAGGTGATTGTTTCACTATGCATAACACTCACCAATGCTATGTGTCAACAAAATCATGTCCCTAGCAAAGGCTGCCATGAAAAATTAGGTTTCAATACTAAAATAATTAACAATCATATCATCGACAAGAAAATGTCTAAATCTTTTCAAAATGATTTTCGTATCGATGTGATTGATTCTAAATGATATGTTCGTAAAGGGAAATAATCTTTGTACCCTTATTTTCGACCGCTATGAAATCAATTGAGTTAGATTCTTTTGAAATCCTTCAGTGAGATTCAATATGCCTTATTGCATGATATAAATGTTGCAGTTTACAAAGTGAAGATAAGTTAAGGATATGGATAGCAAAAACAATAGATTTCTCACATAGCAAGCCCGGAAGGTCACTAGAATCTCGGTACAACCATACCATGTTCGATGATATCAAACCCTATTTCTTAGATATCCGAGAATTTCTCACGCCTGGGAGGGCTGTTTGCAGACGTACATCACATCATAACAGTACTAGGATATACATACTTACCTCCAGATGTGCAGAAGTCATGCATAGATCCCTCTGGTGAAGGTTCTTGACAATGTGGTAGACTTTGGTACTCCTCCTGTATTGCATTGAATTTAAGATCTGGAAATCATCGAGCATATTGAAACGTCCAATAATTTGACCTGAAGTTTCCCTCGATCCAACTGTCCCACATGCTTCTTTTGCAAAGTGGAGGATTGGACGACAGGAATCATGGAGGTCACATATATCCGCAGAACCATGATATTCACGTTACTTTTATCAGATTCTAGGCAAGTATCGTTGAGCTTGATATAGTCTCCAATAACCTTGAACCAATCAATTATTGAAGCGCGCAGAAGAGCATACTGAAAAATTCGAGTGTAAGCAAGTGCAGGATCTGGTTAGAGACTGTTAGCCCTTGTAGTGATTGGTGTGTAGAGTCGACTTTGAAATGATAATTTTTTTGTTGATAAACACTGTCATGTATTAAATCCTGACAGAGAACTCGTCAGTAGTGTTAGCTATAAAGGTCTACACTCGTACGCCCTTCACCAGAGTTCAGGACTAAATCAAACCTTCTGGACTCAGACCTACACTACTACAGATGGAGACATTTCGTCTTTTCATCAAGAGAAATATCTCAAATGCATAATTCAAGTGAATGCGTTGCCTCCGGGATTCCTATAGAATGAGTCAAGAAGATACAATTCTAGGCTAGGTAGATAGCTAGGACGATCATTTGGTCTCAAGGGCAGTGCTTACAGAGAAAACGGTAATCGATGTATGCAAGTCTAAGTCACAACCTTTGACAACCCTCAAGAGCATCTTCCAACAGGATGACCGAAGTTCACAATGAAATAGTGTAAATGACTATGAAAATAAACCCTTTAGAGACATGATGGATCTAAGACATCTAGTAAAGAGTCAACAAGCTCACTCCTATGTGTTAAATAAAAAAAATATCATGATCATGCGTACATTTGTCACATATCTTACCGTAATTCTCTTTTGTGCCCTACGTGTACCCCAGCTTTGTGTTGAACACCATGATGGAGTTCTTCCTATCTGTGGTATTACATACGGCCGTTCATCTGCTTCTGTCGTGAAGCTGTATACACCCAATGAAAGATTGGAAAGATATCCGCAACTTCTTTCTGAAAGGGTCGATCACAGATAAACTCTATCTTGCATGTCATTGATGCAGAAACTTTTTAATGTACAAGACACAGAGGAAAATATCTCCTTGTTTCGGCAAAGAGCAACTACCTCGGAATTACTGGCCAATTCTAAATATCACGCGCGTGTGTCTGCATTTCATTGGGCACACTCTCAGTCATTCAGATACGAAAAATATCAGCTCAGATACGAAAAACTATCACCGCCATAAAGATCAGATCTGAAACACAATCTACCTACCACAGCAGCTATTGAGACAGAGTAGTATGACCTGTCAGTATCTCGCAAGAGTCCTTTATAAGATTTGACCGCCAGACAAGTAAAATACTTATCCATAATTTTTAGACATGCACAATTTCACGAACATATTCGATGCATGCAAGGCAGATTTAAGAAATACTGAAGAGCGAATGAAGATGAAACTCGAAGGCCGCAACGGCAACTCTAGCAAGCTTCAGCAGTCTCGCATCGTTAATGTGACCCGGGACATTCACGCATGATGATCTCTCGGTTAACTGAGGCTCGTTCAGATTATCTACAATCTTTGGGCATGCATGGTGTGGGAAAAAAACAATGTTGGAAACTGAACTCTACAATCTGGTCTGCTGTACTTGAAAATTCGTGGAGGTGAATAGAATGCCAAGAACTTTTGACGAGCTTGTACTTGAATGTCTATACCGATGGGTTTTTATTCGATATCTTTATTCTCGCCTTCAAGATCGGCTGCGGAAAAAAAATGTGAATAGGACTTTAAGCTTCATACCAACTAACCGATACGATGACGAGGCTTGGATTTGAGGAGGGTACTTCCAGCTGATGTGGGCAAAGGGAAGTCTTCTAACACTGACCTGGTGACATGAACGCACGACAACAGAGATGTATTCGAAGCCGAATCTGTTAGAACAATTTGCGGGAATAAGAAGTAGTTGTGCCTGTTTAGATTTACAGAAGCTCTGAGACAACTATGAGTATACAAAGAGTATCAACAGTCACGGTTTAGAAAACCGGTGTTCTTCATCTGCCAGTCACTCGAATCTTGTGCGGAGTCCAGTTCATCGAGTTTCTGTCTAAGTACTTATCAAAGATTCGACGATACTATTTAGACAACCGATAGATCGACTCTTTTTCCGCTGTTTTCTTAGTTCTGGCCGTTTTCTCGAGAAATTGCATCAGTCATGGTAAACCATATTTTCACATAGTTCGGCAGATTGGTTATAAGAAATGACGCAAATAGTGGAAGTCGGACTCACAAAACTGAACAATGTGAGGACAGTAGCTCAGCTGTAACTATTCCATAAATATACTTACGAGCACTTTGGAACAAATTGAATTTAGAACAAAAGAGGTTTGAAAGCAGCATCACATAACGAGAAATGCAAGGCTTGCACTCACCAAAGTTCATCGTCTCCTGCGACCTGCCCGTGACCAACGGTGGAGCTTCATTTTCCTTCCCACAAACAGATTTTCAGATCCTGCGCAATCCATGCACAACTCTCCCGACGAGGAAGGGGATCCTATTTCAGCTAAAGTAACTGCGAGTTACAGTATGCATGCATTTTTCTCCTGAATCGTCCTAATCCAGACTCGTTCTCTCCCTTACGTAAAAAAGCGCGTCAATGGCACCAAGAAGGCCTTGGGATAGATACTTAAGATAGCAATGGTAGTTAAAGACTTCAAATACTTCTTGCTGTTTGCAGGCCGAGATGATCCTTGTCTCCACGTTTGCTCCAAGATCGGTAAACCCACGCGCCTCAAGGCCGTCGGCTGTCGAGAGTGCTTGGAGAAACTCCGCCCCGCTCCCGTCATCGTAAGTATGGCACATCAGAGAGACCACTGAATTTAGAGTACATGTTTGTAGATTTCAATGTTCATATGCATGGCATGTCTTTCGATAGATGAACATTGGGGATACCGATCGCAGCGAGCTGCGGTGGGACTACGCGAGTACGTTCACGGCCTGGGCTTCTCCAATCAAGGGAAAATCGTGTTTTTCAGAATTGCGCAGCTCATTGACAATTGTAATCAAGGTCTTGACGCAACGCACGCACCCACAGATTCTTGCGGCATTCGTTGCTTCGTCTTACACAACTCCAACTGCACACTGACTGTCATCAATCAACCAAGAATATAAGAACAGGAACAAAGAAATCCCCGTCAACTCCGTGATGATCGCTCTCTTCACACACTGCTCCAATCAGTATCAAACATTTCGTTCCGGGACTACATTCAAAATCGTAACTTGTACGTCCTGCATAATGCACTTGATCTGATTTCACGGCCCGAATCGGCCCGATATTTTCTGGGCGGCCACATCTACTGTACTGTAGCTATTACGTAGCAGATGACTATCCCATACAGACTGCACTCGAACGGTCGGACCTACATGGAAATACCGGTGACATCTTCCTCTGAGCTATCTCGAATACTTACCATTAGCCATTTCGCCAGTGCCAGATAGATCTGTCTCGCTCAAGGTAAATTTGTCCGAGTACTCACGGCAATTTAGTTTGTACAGTTAAATACTTTGAACCATCGCCGAAAGCTATGCTGTACATCGTTGTAGACAATAATTGGCTTGATTTGGTCTTCATTTAAAGTTACCGCCATTGTACATGTACAAACTGATGCTGGCTCTCCTCCATGAGCCCTGACAATTTGATGCGAGAAACCTGTCACATATTCTTACTTCACTGAATAGTCAGCAATGAACTGAAAACGTGTTTGAAGATTCAGTGTGAATATTATAGAAATTCGTTTAGACCTCTTGCACCCATACTATCTCTCACCACTAAGTTGTATCTTCATCGTTTTTTAGGGATTCTAATGATAGCAATTAATCTGAAGGTGCTTACATATGAATTTCATAAATTATTCAATGAAATAAATTATCTCAAAATAAGGCCGTGAGTTATTTACTATCTGATTTGACACTTGTTTTTGTAGTATATCGTGTGATCAAATTATGTAAATTTTCGAGTTTTAAATAATATAGTAATATTATGTAATATTCAAACATTTCATAATTGATTATTTCCATGTGTGTTCCGTTCTAGTCTCTGGCTAAAGTTCCAAAATCTCGCACTCCAGCAATTCCAACTTGTAGTACTTTTATATACTCAAAATTTTTACCATCCACACAAATGGTCTACTATGATTCATGAAGACATTCAAGACACATCTTAATTTAGTCACTTCATCGGTAAACTTATGCCTTCCAGGTCAATTAGAAGAAAACGAATCAAACCAATTAAACATATCGGGTGCATATATCACGATAAATGTGTGAGAATGTTATTAGTTGTTTAAATGACGAATTTCGAAATTGAAATTTGACACTGAAATTCCGAGTAGTCATACCTCGCAAATCAAGACATGCTCGACCTTACCTGGGAATAAGCCGTGAGTGTTTAACTACTCCCAAACAGCCTAAATTAAGTGTGCACCGACCAGGGAGCTAGTCGCCCCTTACATCTCAACCGGAGGCCTAGACTGTCGCGCTCGTTGCGAATTTTTAGTGTCTGGGTAGCAACTCGCAACAGAGTCAGGCTCCGAGTAAGCACAGCTCAAATACATGCACGTGAGACCTCTCCTGAGTTTGATGAACTGCTTAGTCATACTGAAGAGTCTGCCCGACATGTTTTCGGCTGTTGGCAAGCGTGACCTCACAGCACAGCAGGAGCACTTTGCCGCTGAATTGCTCTATTTATGATATATACAGTAGATGGAAGTAAAATACGAATTTCTCCTATGGTAATATCTAGGCCGGGAGTTCAGTTTCGAAGGTCAGGTATCCTTGGACATTAACGAGGATCAAAGAGGCGAAGAAAAGCACATGATTCTGAAGAGAGTACGGGCGCGCAAGACGGAGACATGCGATCAGCCGAAGTACAGCAGCAGATCTTGAACTAACGTGCGATTCATCTGGTGCCAGGTCATACATAGTTTCCAACCACGAGAACTGGAGTGACTTTGGACTTCTGCTACACACCACACGCGTAAAGGATATAGTGGACCCCACACATGTCAGAAACCTCCAATGAAAAGTAAGCCATCAGCTACCGACGTGTCGGAGCCGTACGCATATTCCAGATTACTACGAAAGGGTTGTACTTTTGTACAATGCTTTCGTAGCGTAACGGATCTGAATCCAAACTTACTGGTCCGTCATGCATGCGGCCATAGGTCTGCAAGTCCATTACGAGTCATGCAAGTACTCAAACTCTGCAATGTCGATTCTTCGGTCGGTGTTTTGGAATTTCGATGACATTTAATTTTGCATAATGGAATTTAATTATTAGAATAAGAAGATATGTCCCACCAGCAAGCAAAAAAAATTTATTATCGTACAACGTCTTGTCTAGTCCTCTTTCCATCAGGAAGTTACATAAATTTAATTTTTAAAATTGTAATTGTTGAACTAGTTTAAATCAGAAAAATAAATTATGACGTAACGACTTGACTAAAATTATCTATTTTTACAAAAAATCTGGATCATTTTATTTCATAATGACAGCACATTTTATTGAAAAACATTATATCAAAATTATAGATAACTAGTGATTTTGTACACAATCTATCTATGTGATTACAATTTTCTATTAAACTTCCAAATATCATGATCATTGTTTTATAAATATTACATAGTAATTGTTTTATGAAATAATGAACACAAATTTTCCGAAATAATGATTTCAGTAAGAGAACAAGAATGATAAACATGATATTTCTTGTGATAATATCCCTCTCATTCTATTGTAAATACATCAAATTTTCAATTTTTAATTTTTAATTTACATGTATTTTTTAATATCAAGGTGATTTTTTTATCCACACATTTGATAATATTTTCATGATGTTATTTTTATGCAATTATGAACATGGATAATCACACATTCCAACAAAATATAATGATAATCATCACAAAAACACCTTCACTACTATAACTTGATATTTTCTTAAAAAAATTAAAATGTAACTATCCAAATCTACATATCTGGGTATAAATGTTATCTTCATTTGAAATATCCGATTGACAAATACAAGCTAATAACTTGATTATGAATGACAAATCATATAATAGAATGTGATTTATGTTACAATCTGCATGTTTTCATAAAAAAAAAATATCAAGTTTATTTTATATATATATATAAACTTAAAATCAGTCATAGACCTCTCTCTCACTTATTTTTCAAGGATGAATCTGTCCACAATCACAAATAAGAAATATGGGTGTAATTAAAAAGCCCAACTATCCACAATATTTTCAAGTCTTTTTAAGCATGATAATAAGTCAATTCACTTAAACCATTTGTATCAAACACATGAAGGTTTTTTGACATAATATCATCAAGAATATTTATGATACTTCTTCCAGAGTTTGTAAGATGCAATAGATTTTTCCAAACATTTATTCATACAAAGAAGAGAGCTGCAGAATACAAAATATTGAATAAATCTATGTATTAAAAAAAAAGTTGACAAAGGTCTAAAGGTAAAAATCATTGATAGCTTTTAAAAACATATAAATTCATAAGAATCAATAAAATAAGTAAAAAACACTTCAAAAATTGATGTTCATGTCAGACAAATAAATTTTAATAAACAACTATCCAAAAAATTGCCTTATTTGATACATATCATTCACACTGAAAAACTGATACACACAATCTAATATCTACAATAACTAAAAATTGAGCTAAAAGAAAGATTTGTAGGTTGTATTGGTTGTAAAAATATTTTTTATCCATAATAAAAAAATTAAAAATTGAGGAAATTTTCAAAGATTTTACAAAATACATTCCAAAAATCTATCACATTTTATAACATTAAAAGATAACTTTTTATCTGCTTTCATTTTTTATGCACAATACATATTTATTTATTTTAATTTTTATACATTAATGAGATAATCTTAACTGATCTATTTTCTATTTATATACAAATTTTTTTTATCAATTACAAATCTTTATGTTTTAGTGTAATTTGACTCCAAAATTATTTAATTATATGTTCTTTCAATTTTTTATTTAAATTCATATGGATAAAATGTTAAATCATATATATATATATATATATTGCCACAAGACAAACCTTCTATTTGGTAAAATTTTCCAATGAAAATAAATTATTGGTTGTGTGTTTTCGTCTATAGAAACTTTTTCATCTAGCATTTATCACATGGTTAATCATGAAATGCATTTTTTTCTAGAAAGTGATTTCATCTTCTATATTAATTTATAGAACATTAACTTACTTGTTTGAATGTAGTTTTTGAAATTAAAAAACTTCATAATGAAAATTTTAGAATACTCAGAATAGATGAGATTAAGAAAAAGTGAACAATCAAGATAGCCTAAACTTTATGTATAATCTAGCTCATATTTCAAAACTCTTAATTAAATATTATAAGTCCAACATGCATGCAATACTCATAAAAAAGAATAATGTGCTTAATAATATTAACCATACCTATGAAATTATAACTTTTGTGTCACAATGCAATTGATAATTTCTACGATTCATATAGATTTCTTCTCAAGCCTAACTAATTTTTTGAATTTCTACAATTTAATACTCATATTTGAATGTCCAACACATTTTCTATTTGGAACTATGTATATCCAAGTTGTAAGTTGAAGAATAAAATAGATTCTAAAATCATTATTATCACCATTAGCCAAAATCTAAAGATGTAATTTGTCGTGGAGTGCAAAAGAAAGTGTAAGGAATGAACGATGTAAATTGTTTTTTGCAAGTATCCTGTTCATCTAATGTGTGATCCAATCATGCATATCTTCAATATTACTTGTGTTTTTCCTCCTCATGTAGTAAATAATGGATGACACATTTTTTCCTTGGACATTGCCATATACACTTCTCATCATAGGATGACATATGAGTAGAAGAAAATTTTAGTCTTCACAAACAGAAAGTTGCTTCAACATGATTTTTCAACCTAAACTACTCATACCTGCAAAATTATATTCCCTATCATCCCTTCTCAATTACTAATCGTTGAATCTAAGATCTCTTCTAATTTTTCGTTGGTTCTCAAATTTTGGCTCCGTGTAATATCTAAAACAGTGAAAGATTGTCTGACATTAAAGACTTAAAAAAATTCTTCATGCA